CGGTAACCTGGTTGCCGAGTTCACGAAGTGAATTGGCTTGTTTTACAACGTCTTTGCCAAGCGACGAAAACCCAATCCCGATGGCAAACACCGGGGGGGGCGGCTTGTTTTACAACGTCGTTGCTAAGCGACGAAAACCCAATCCCGATGGCAAACACCGGGGGGCGGCTTGTTTTGCAACGTCGTTGTCAAGCGACGAAAACCCAACCCCGATGTCAAACACCGGGGGGGGGTGAGCGGCTTTTACAACGTCGTTGCCAAGCAACGAAACCCCAGCCCCGATGGCAAACACCCGGGGGGAAGGGGGGGGTGTTCATTTCTTTGTCTTTCCTGCGACGTTTCACCACTGACCGCGCATCTAACTCTTGTGGACGGTTCCGTTGCTACTTCTGACAGAGACTCCGCCGACATGGGGTGCCCTCTGCCTGTTTGGTATTCGTTCCGTGGTATCCACCTGTGATTGCTGTTGTCTACGCTCTTGCTAAACTCATTCCCTTCGTTCTTGAACCCCCCCCCCGCTGCTGGCCTTGTGTGTGTATGTCATCCCGTTTATTCTGGACGTCCGTCTAAAGACATATCGGTATGTTTATTCATCGTCTGAACGCGTCAGCCTTGGCCACACACCGGCAGTAGTTCATTGTTTCCTTGCCGTTTGAGAAAACGGAGACGCCACCAATCATCTCCGTCTCATAACATCGCGAAGGCGATATCGCAACCGCGAACCCCCCCCCCCCCCCCCCCCCNCGCAACCGCGAACCCCCCCCCCGCCCCCCATTCGTCGAACATGGCAGGCCTACTCGTTCATGCTCCGGCTCAAGATGCCGGCCGGCGTGTGCTCCCCCGAGCTCTACACCCTGCTTGACGATCTCTCGCGAGAGTACGGGCACGGGCACCTCAGGCTGACGACGCGACAGACGTTCCAGCTGCACGGTGTGGCCAAGCACAATCTCAAGACGGTCATCAAGGTGAGGAAATAGGAGTGTAAGTTGCGACACCAGAAAACCTTTGTCGAGCTGTGTTATCGGCGTGGTTGCTTTTCCGGCTGCTGGTGGTGGTTGCTGGTGCTGCGCTGAGTGTTCATGCTGCTGTGTTTGGCAATTGTTATTATTGCTTGCTGCGCGTAGTGCGGGGAGGGAGGACGTTGGGGGGGGAGGTTGAAACGGAGGGGCGTAGTTTGAGCGGAAACTGGGTGTAAGTGGGGATCCATCAAGGCAAGGTTTTGCACATGCAGACCCATCGCGCACCGCCTCTACGACCTCGTTCCCCTGAGCAGCCATAGTATGTGTGCTTATGCTCCTTCCTACGATTTTTGTTCTAGCGGCTACCCATCTGGCGCGTTCGGTTTGAAGGACTCAAGCAGTAGTTTCCAGCCCACCTGACGACGGTCACCCTCTCCCCCAGCACGCGCGTTCGTTTGTTGGTTACCCCTCCCCCGGTCCCTCGTTCGTCTCACATCTCCCGCGTTGTGCTGCTGTGTGCTGCCTCACTCCTGATGCCACTGTTGCTGCTGCTGCTGCTGCTGCTGCTGCTGATGATGATGATGATGATGATGATGATGCCGGTGCAACAGAGCATCATGCAGGTCGGGTCGAGCACGGTGGGAGGGTGCGGAGACGTGAACCGTAACATCATGTGCACTCCCGCGCCTATCGTTAACCGCCCGGAATACGTCTACGCGCGGCAGTACACGAAGGTACGCTTTGACGTGATGTGATAGTGCGAATCGGTTTTGATGCTGTGGCGGTTTTCCGTTTTTTCTGCATCCCCTCCCCCAGGCCCCACGTTGTTGTGCAGAATGGCCTGTTGTATATTTCGAACACCTGAACCACCGCCATATTGTTGCTTCGGTTTGGTTTTGTTGCATGTCTCAGAGCGCCGCCCTAAGTTCGGGGACTCTTCCGATTAGCTGTTTTCTTTTTTTTTCATTTTTCCTGGGCCCTTTCCCATCCGTCATACGTCCCACAAGACCTACAATTTTTGATGGCGAGCTACCGTCGTAGCTAGACAGCGCTTTGGCATGCGATGTCTGGTGTCAAATGCCCCAAACCGTGCATAGTCTAAGGACACAGAAGATTCAACCAACTTTTTTCTGCGAGTCACTTCTCGTTGAACCATGATCGCACGCACCCTGCCCTCCCCTCCCGCCTCCCTCTGCCGAGGGTGTCCCGCCTGAACGGCCGTTATGCTTCAACACTCGGACGACGCCAAGTAAGTTGGAAACGAGCACCCCCGCCGCCCCCATCCCCTCCCTCGCGAAATAAATCCCAACAGCCAGCCAACAACCGAAACAGGCAGTAACAGCCTCTACAGCAACAAGGACAACAACAACGGTTATTCCTCGTTCAGCGTTGTTCGACTATACTTCCGCGCTCAGCAGCATCCAGCCACAAAAGCCACCCACCACCCCTAACAGCGTGTTTTCCTCATTCAACGTGTTCGACAACGATTGTGCGCTCACGAACGCAGATCTTGGCCGGGTGAGAACCCGGCGTGCTCCGTCCCGGCTTTGTAGGGACGCGAGGTCAATGGTCTAACGAATACAGCATGCACATCGATGAGGACGCCCCCCCCCCCCCCCCCCCCCCCCCCCCCCCCCCCCCCCCCCCCCCCCCCCCCCCCCCCCCCCCCCCCC